CAGTCTGACTAATCATATTTGTCCTGGTAGAGTAGTCATCTTTGTAATGATGGCACTGAGAACGGTAACATGGCGTCATAGCAAGACCGTTCCGAAATTTAGACATCGTAGTTCAAGGAGGAGAGGGCGCGGCAGCGGAATAATACAAAGACACAAGCGAAGCTGTCGACGGACGAGGAGCGCGAGGTACGGAGGGGAAGGATGAAGGATTGGTGGTGAGATGGGGAGGAGACATTGGCAGGAGCATGAGGGAGCATGACTTTGTTTTTGCTTCGACGACTCGCCGAACGAGCTGCGGACAAGCAGCGCGCGCAGTTCTTCGAAAGCCATGCGCAGGCCAGCGCCGCGGAAGAGTTGCGCGAATGCTTACGCCACGAGGCAGTGGAACATGGCCAGCATTTCGAGAGGCCAGTGAGGTGGCGCCCGATGGGGTGCAGGGGCGCCAGGGTGGCCCGAACAGTGAGCAATCGTAGGCAGTGGCGTGATGCCGCTACAGACGTGGCCCCGGATCCCGACCTGGGCAAAAGTTCTCGGGGCTTGGCATGAGGCCACGGGCGCGCCAGGCGTTTGGGAAGAGAAGCGGGGACGAGCAAATGTCCCGAGCTCGTCCAGCCAGTCAGAACCATGCCTACAAGGCGCATCGGTTGCAGTGTGTGGCTACTGCGCGCATTGCCGCTGGTGCTCGTGAGCCGCTAATTGGGGGCCTTTTGGAGCTTATGGGGGGCCTCCCGGGGGCCAGCTGGCTGTTTCGGGGGCCATACTGGGGCGAAGGACTCGAAACTTAGATTCGTGGCATCCCCCATGGCGCTTGTTTTGGGCCCCTCGTGGACGCCCTATTGGGCTGTCTTGGGGGCCTCTGGGGCCGCTTTGGGGTGATCTTGGGGGCCTCTTCAGCCGCCTTGGAGCGTTGAAAGCACGATATGACGAAACCACTGGTATCATCCAAACATGTTAGCCATCGTGGACCCCAAGCAGTGGTGCTTTGCAGTATGTGCGGTGCAAGCTCGGTGGTACGATCAACAGTGTGCAAACTACGTAATGCAAGCCATGTGGTGCAATTCAGGCGGTGCAAAGCAACGCGAAGCATGAAACAGCAAAGCAATGCGAGACAACGCAACGAAAGGTACCGCAATGCAAAACAACACAAAGCAATGGAAAGCGCTGCAAGGCCATGCAATGCAACGCAATTCAACGCAATGCAATGTAATGCGCTGCAAGGCCATGCGATGCAACGCAATGCAACGCAATGCAACGCAATGCAATGCAATGCAACGCAATGCAATAGCACAGCCACGCAATGCAATAGCACAGCAATGCAACGCAACGCGAAGCAACGCGAAGCAGTGAGAACCCACGCAAAGCAGCGCAGCGCAGTGCAACGACATGCAACACAATGCAGCGCAACACGGGCTGCCACTGGGGCCCAGTTGCCAGCGGCGACGGCGGCGGCGACGGGCGACGGCGGGCGGCCCTGAGGCGGCCAGGCCACCGCTGAAGCTCAGTTGCCGGCGGCAGCGGCGGCGGCGACGGGCGGCGGCCACGAGCCGGCCAGACCGCCACTCGAGCTCAGCTGCCTTGGAAGCGATGCAAGGGCCTCTAAGAGAAGCACTCTTTGGGGAACGTGAGGGGAATCAATGATTTGGGCGCCTCGGGGCCGTCTTGGGAGGCTCTCGGAGCCCTCTTTGGGCGGGCGTGTTGGAGGCCTCTTGGGCCTTCTTTGGTCTGTGGACCATCTTGGGCGCTTATTAGGAGCGATCTTGGGCGACCCGGGGCCATCTTGGACCATCTTGGGGGCCTCGTGGGGTCTTCTCGGCCCATCTTGACGCCGTCTGGCCTCTGGAGCAGTCACGCGACCGACCCCAAGGGCGCCCGGGAGCGCCCAGGCGATTTGGGGCTTTGGTTCGTGGGATGGTTGGCCCCGTCAAGATTATCTACAGTAATCAGCGTAGAGAACTCGAAGGCCTCAGGGCACAGTGGGGGATTCTACGCCCAGGTGCAGGAGGAGGAAGCAAGGAGGAGGAAAGAACGGGTCGCCGAACTTGTCCTGGAGGACCTTCGTCACGGCGGCAGCCTCAGAGCCAAGAATGCACTGAGGCCCCAGAGGTGCCCCAGACGCTGCTGTTCCCCGATCTCACCTCTGCGAACAGCGCCGACGTCGATGCTCTTGGCCCGAGTTCACGCGCATGTGCACAGCCCCTCGTGGCCGCGCTCCGCGCGCCTGGCCGTGGCCCGTGGCTCCGTCGAGATCGATGGTAAGGCTGCGTCGCCGTCCCCAGGTGCACCCCTTGCAGCACCGCCTCCTCGATCCATCCTCACACCCTGTCGATGGCCAGCCCCGCTCAAGAAGAGCCTCGGCAGGGGTCTCCAAGCCCCGAGCACCCTTCATGTTCGTTCGGGCGCGTCTCTTTACAGGAGCAGGATTCAACAGTTGGCAACAGCTAGTCTGGGGACGGTTTGTCGACTACGTTTGACAATTTTGAACATGGTTTGGATTGTTTTTGCTTCTTCCCGAAAAGAGGGCCCGCCGCGAAGCAAGAATGCACGGAGAGCTCGCCTCCCTTTCTGGCGGCCGCGGGGCGGTGCCCATGAGGCCGCTGCCGAGGCGGCCGTCCGCTCTCCGCCCACGGGGACGACGCGCCTCCGACCCCGCGGCTCTTGTGTTGACGGCCGAGGCTTCCGAGCTGGAGCACCTGCTGCCTGGCCGGCCGCGCCCCTGGTTCCCCAGACGCAAGCAGTGACGAGGCGTCCTGGCTTGCCTAGCGGCCCCCCAAAAGAACAATCTCAGAGCCTTTTTTCTGTGATCGGCGCGAAGTGTGCGAGCATTTCTGGCGGAGGCTGTCTTGTCTTGGCACGTCGGGTTATGTTCGAAGCATCTTGTTCTTTCCTAGATCATTACGGGGGTCAAAGAACAATGCGTGGTAGGCCTGTATGGATGCCGGGGCACCCGGCCCCAGCTCAGCAGACCTCCTCGCGCCGTGGGGACATCACGACGGGCCGCCGCCGAGGTGGCGGGCCGCTCCTCCCAGGGATTCGACGCCTCGCACGCCGCGGACGTGGTCTCGTGACGGCCGAGGTCGACAGTCTGCTGCGGTGGCTGGGAGCGCCTTCCACAAGAAGCCTTCCACACACGACCCCCAACCCTGAGACTGAGACCCCAGGTCTTCCAATGGTTTTTGGTGTGGGAGCGCCACGCACTTCCAGAACAAATCATCGACCCCCCCAAAAAACAAAACAGGGCACCCTGATGGCAAGCAGGGTGTCTCTTGGCAGGGGTCTCCACTGTACTCTTCGAGGCTTCCAAACTGGAACACACGTGCGGACTGGCTGGCCAGCCGCCCCCTGGTTGCCCAGACCTCCTTGCGTCGTGAGAAAATCACGACGAGAAGTTGTTCTAGATGTTCGGCCTCCGGGGGCCATCGCCGGGCTTCGGGGCCGTCAAAAATCGGCTCAGGATGAGAAGCCAGTCCCGGGGAAGGGGTCCAGACCTCTAGGGGGGTCGACGCTGTGACAAAAATCACGACGTCGGGGGTCTCGGCTCGGCGGCACCCCAACATACTATTATAATGTGTGCGTCGCCCTGCTGAGGGGTCCCCTGCTGAGGCACCCCTGCTGAGGGATCGCCCCGCTGATGGACCCCGCTGGGGATGGTGGAACCCCCCATTCCGCTGAGGGGAGAGTACCCACATAGGGGTTGTTGACGCCCGCCCACAAGGTTTGTGACCATCTTCTGCGCGTCTACAAGACGGGCGGACAAAGCAGGCAAGCAGAGCAAGCAAACAAGCGAAGAGAACAAGAGAGAGAGAGAGAGAGAAGCAGGGAGGCAGGCCACCGAGCGGGCCGCCTCGTGTATTTAGACTGAGCTTCGCACTGTCCATCGTGCAGGTGTGAGGAGGTGCCGCCGCCTCCGCCACCTCCGCCGCGGCGGTGACGCATTGATATCCGCGGCGCGCGGTGGCAGCCCGGCGATCCCGCGCCGCCCGGCGCCACCGACTTCAGCATCATGTCGAGATAGGCACGCGCAGTGCCCAAGCAACCCAGACTAGCCAAGCAATCCGAAAACGGTGTGAAACACCTGCTGGTTTTCCAGTGGCCCTGGATGCGTGGCCGAAGTGAGGCTCCGAGACTTGTTGTTGTTGTTGTTGTTGTTGTTGTTGTTGTTGTTGTTGTTGTTGTTGTTGTTGTTGTTGTTGTCGTCGGCCCGGCTGGTAGTTTGGGTTGCTTGGCTTTCTTCTGGTATTGCTTTGATGTTTTAGATTTCTCAGTTGAGGCGCGATGCGCATGTCGATCGCTTGCTCTGGCCGCAAGTCACGAAGAGGAGGTGAGATGCGATGGAGAGTGCGCAAAAGCAACGGCAGCCCTTCTGGAGAAGG